CTAAAATATTTGTTGTTGCATTACCCAGCTGCTTGGATGCCAGTTCAGAGGACGTTTACTCAAGACGGCGTGAAGCAAAAGGAACTTTGAACTTTTAACAATAATTTGATGATTCTTTAGCAAAAATGACAAAAAAAAGGAAAATTGGTTTGGTAGTAATGAACAGTTTGTTCTACCTTCCACCATGATAAGTCAAGGATGTATGAAGAAAAAGCAGTATATTCAAGCGCAATTTATTTTTATTTGATGTTAAATAAGAATTTCACCATACAGCAGAAAAATGCAAATTCCGTGCTTTTCTCTATATGATTTATTCTAACAATGTTTACAAAAGGCATCATAAGCTCAGATGCAATTAAGAAACCATTACCTCGTACTTTATCTCTTTAATCTACCTCTTGAATTGGCTGCTAACTGATTTGAGTAGAGAATTGTGTTTCGTGTTTCCCAGTCGGGCTGACGAACGCATCATTGGTGACCTTTGAACAATCAATCCACTCCTTACTCCACGCTTCTGAGGCACGACTTCAACAGTCACCCCCAAAAGACTGCGATTTTTTAGATCGTGACTCACATGTATTCACCCATGGGATACCGTTCCTTCGCTAGAGGCCAAAAGCTGTTTGCTGTGGGCATTCGACTTCCCACATGTGTAAGCAGAAACTTTCTTAGATACAGCCAGACTGTATTTTTCTTGTATACACAAAGCGAGGAGAGCATTCAATCTCTAGATTGGAGGAAGATATTGCCTCATATACCATCGTTTTAACACTGAGTGGCATCTCGAGAAATGAAACAGTTAGCAGACGAAAGGCGATCTGGTTTTATAAAATATTTTTACATTTTCGCCCTTCTACTTCCAATTTTGCACCTTTGGACCAAGAAGACGGCTTAGAGAAGATATCTTGTATTATATGCTGCGGGATTTTCTAGTAGTCAACGTTTTTTAGGAAGATCAAGCATTGCCGCCTTCTTCTCGCCCTTCCTCCACTTCAGAGGCCATTTGCGCCTTCGCAAGCAAATATTAACTACGAAAACGCAAAGATGATGCACTGTGAAACTTTAAATTCTTTTGTGGCAGCCAGTTTTTAATGGCCATTTTTTCATGTCAAACGGAATTTAGGCCATTTGGATTAGCTTGCTCCTTTTTGGATGTTTGAAGTGGTTTGTTAATGCCCATTACCACTACAAAGTTGACTTTTTAAACACTGATGAACTCCAGCACCGTTTTGATTTGACGATGATGTAGTTAGTACAAATTTTGATGTGAATGAGAACTAAGTGGCAATTGGGCACTCACAGAGCCTCTTGCCTAATCATTTAGCTAATAATTTCGGTGCAGCTAAAACATGGAAAATGGTAAAGGAGTTAATATAATGCAAAATTTTATATAAAACAATTAAATTTGATCTTATATTTGAGCTCTAGTTGACCAGTCACTTGTAATAGAAGCATTTTAATGGGACGAGCAAGAAAATAGGCAAAATTTACTCGATCATGAGATTTACGTCAGCCATTTTTTTGTAAAAGGGTTTGTCAACGTCAGGTAATAATTAATTTACTCAAAGAAGGTCTTTTTTGTATACCATAGTCTCAATCATCCTGAGTAAACTTGGGAAGATGTCTTGCACACGTAAAAAAACGGGAGGCTTTCGACATTTTTTTATCAAAAAAAGTTGATAACAAAAAAATTTCATTTTGTAATTTAAGGCTTTATACATATCAAACGATAACGAGGTTAGGCCCATTTGCCCACTCGTTATTTAAAAAGGGTGCATTCAAGAAAACAGGTCTCATGGTACATTAATAAGTCAAAAATATTTCATTGCAATAAAAACTATTTGTGGCGGTACTTTACTCCTATAAAACAAAAATGATACTTGTATTATGTTGTCCCACTTCGTTGATCAAAAGCATCAATTTATAAAACAGACGAGTAGTTTTTACACCCATTTAAATAAAATGACTAACTAATACAAGAAAATCCTTTTTCATTAAAAGCTTATCGCAAGTTAATAATAACTATCAGTTGGGAGTAACTTATTCTTGATTAAAGACGTAATATTTTGCCGGTTTTTGACTTTTGCCTTTGGTTTCAGACGCTTGGATAAAGAGTGTTTCTAATCGAACATCTCTCGCTGTTGGTATGCGGAATGCTACAAACAATCATAGTTTTATGGGGGATTATAATCTGTCTCCTCCTTCTCGACCTCCGCAATGGGGCATCAATGACATCTGCCAAGCCACTAGGTTGGTCCAATTTGCTCACCTGTTACCTAAGAATGTGTGTTCAAAAAAACCTGTATTTTAGTAGATTAAGCTAGAAAAGGCCTTCTCACAGTAATTGCTACAGAGTACCAACAGTATTTTTTGTTAAGTGTCTTTCCACAACTTCGATCGCAAATTGTTGGGACAAGTTTTTCGCAACCACTTGCTACTTAATTTTCCAATTGTAAACATCAAAGTTTTATCCACTACTCGCATGCAGTTTTGTTTTAAAATATAGAAGTGAAGAAGTTAATCAGTTAATTACACCAAATTTAAGGGCAGACCATCATAATATAAGTAGAATTCCACAAATATCTGATTATAGATTCGAAAATTTTGAGGTGCTTCCCAGCTGAACATGTTTAAGGAGAATCTGTATTACACCTCGGTCTGTGAGTAAAGAGAAGTGAAGTGGAACAAATTTCCTGGGAAAAAATATTCTAAGACACACTTTCGCGCACCCTCTACAACAATCATAGTTGATAATAAAACTCAAGGAAGGTGTTCTGCTTAAGTTTAACATCACTGTCGCAAACTTATCTTTTATCACTTCCACTTTTAACTGACTAATCAGAAAAAAACGAATTTATTGACATTTGTTAATGTGGTTGGAAGCCAGGTCAGGGGTCATATACATTTTGAACTCTTGTCCACCTCGGGGAATTCTGATGACTCCACTACGAGATCTTGGGTTTTCTGAACACTTTTCACCCAAAAGTGATATCTAAACGAAATATGCATTAAATATCTCCCGTCTTTTTTGCCACTTTCGTCATGCTCTTCTAATAAGTGATTCCTGTATGTTCTATCGGAGGTGGCATTCTTTTTTACGCTAATAAGTAAACTTTGTCTTCTCAGTCAACCGATGGTGTACCTTTGTACGGCCACATCTTGTTGTGGTGAAGGGTGATTGGTTGAGTATGGTTGGTTGCAAACGAGGTAGTTTGCAGGTGAGAGGACAGGCATCACTTGGAATGCATCTTTGCTCCCCGGATGATGGAAATTGCGGTGTATTCCAGGTGAGGGAACCGGTCTGTGCGGTTGTACTAGGTGTCCACCTCAGGGGACACTGGTCTGGCTGCGTTTGACATAATATTTCTTCTGCTTAGCAAATATGACAGTAGTGTTTACGTGCGATGATGTTTGTTTTCATATGCCTTCCTTCATCTGCAGTAGGTACTCTGGGACACTGCTGATTACTTCCTACATGCTTAATAAGTACCTGTCGGAAGGTGCTCTCATTCCACTACCTGTGAGTATCTTGAACAGTAAAACGCCGGCTGATGCGTTGACTGAAGTCTTGTACTCAGGGAGGACTCGTTCTTGTCTTCCACTTGTGCATTTTTGACGGAAACTTTCAGCAGTATGATAAGAGCATTCACATAACAATGTGTACTCCATTTTCTGTACTGCACCGTGAAATTGTAGTACTACAGCTCCTCGTGACGGCAGGCCACTGAACTGTCTACCTCCTTCATTGGTTATAATCGGCTAAGTGCCCGATGAGTCGTTCTTACTATTAATTATCACACTTTCAGTTAGTTCCAGAAGTGTCGAATTATTGTGAAAACTCCGAATAGTCCACATTGTGTTGCACATTTTGGTCCCATTCTTTGCTGAGTCCGATACTCGCGTAAGCAATGACATGTCCCTTCCCTTCTTTGTCGCTTCATGAGAGCGCGCCGCCCACAGCTGTATCACCAACGGCAATATACAGTATAGACAGTAGGACTTTCATATGAAGTTAAGGAATGCTAGAATCATTGCGAAGGAAAGCATTCTCTTAAGTCCTTAAAACGCCAGATTTTTAATTGATGCACTGGACTTGAAATCATAGGATAACCTTAAACGAAGCGTCTATAGTAATGTGTCGAGCCTAATTAATTACGGTGCATCATCTAGTTGATTGGAGTTGGCCAAGTAGTCGCATTTTTTTATACGGTATGCAGTAACTGTTATTTCATCCGACTAGACTGTATGCCAAAAGAAGTTGACCCAGCACTGCAGATAACGATATTTTTGGGTTTACAGTCAACTCTGTGTTTTTCGCTGACGGTCCAATACCAGTCCCATGTTGGCGTGATGCTCTAGACTATCTCTACCGGAGACGAGGATATCATCTAGAGAGGTTGTGAAATATTTTGGAAGTAAGCCAATTAACACAGTTTGAAAGGTGACTGCTGCATTACAAAATCCAAAAGGCATTGTTTAAAATTTATGAAGCTCCTATGACAGTACAAAATATGTCTTTCCTCTGTCAACTTCTACCACCTCCACTTGCCAGTATCCTGATTTCACATCCATGTAGGAAATCTAGAGAATCATTGATACAGGGTTACTGCTTCCAATTGCCTACGATTGACGCACAGCTGTAGACTTCCGTAATTCTTTTTTGCCAGAGCGGTCGGAGACACCCATGGTAACCTTTATGATCGTCTGTCCTCATCTCTGTTCATCTCTTCTACCAATCGCTTTACTTCTTCTGGCAGACGATATGGTATGCGCCTAGATGGTTGCCACATGGGTCTTCTTTTACTGGTATCCATTGTGTGCTTTACGATACTTGTTCATCCCAGCTTAAAACTTTGCGAAGAGAATAATTTCAAGCAACTTATTAGTAGCTCGTGAAGTTATTCGCTTTCATTATCGGTGATATGGATAAGGTGCGTGCAGAGTTTATATAATTTATTCGTGGGTATAACTGCAGCCTCACAGAGGGCGATTTAGCGACGTTCCTTTCGGTAACGAAAGGGTGCATTAACTTCTGTTTCTTTCAGATAGAGAAGATGGCTTTTGAAAAATTCGGGATGACTTTGGCGTTGAGCAGAAAATCAGAGCCGAGAATCGTGTCTGAAGCCTGTTCTGGACTCAATTAATTTTACCATTTAGATTTCTTTGCCCATGGGGGTCTTTAACGGCGTCTACCACTTTGCTATTATCTCCTTTCTCCTTTTAAATGGGATCTTGTGAAGAAAATAACGATTCAAATCTTGTGATAAAAGGTGGAAACAGCCAGAAGAGTTATTGTTGAGTTAACTGCACCTGAGTCAGGAGGAAGCTTTATGGACGTATGTATGCATTATACTACAAGTTTATTTTGTTTGCCCTACAAAGGGTTGCAATATTTCATAATTTGTTTTAGTAAGCTTCAAGAATTTTTGTGTTTTGATAATCCATAAAGGGCAGAAGGGTACCATGTTTTATGACCGCAAACTCCAACTTTCAATCTTGGTAGTTCTTTGGTTTTCTGTGGTTTTGCTACAATATGGCTGAAACTAGGGTATCCAGATGCAATACCTCAACCTCAATTGATCCAATGACCAAAGGCCTGGCTTCTTCCAAGTAGAGTTCTAGCTGGAGAAATGCGACAATAGTGGACATTCATAGTATCACTGCATCGTAGAAAATAGTAGTATGGAAGATTTTCTAATAATGTTCAAAAATGTGCCACAAGTATTTAACAGCGTCGATACAATTGAACCCTCCTTGCAAAAGGGTGGTTAAGCGTCTTCCTCCCTTCCACAGGACGCTAGTTGGAATGAGGGCCACACTTCCAAACACTTACTTCATAGTCCAAAGACAGGTAGATAAGGCCTTTAATATTTATCCCAGGGGCAAAAATGGCTGCCAACCGCAATTGCATTCGAATAAAGTGATGCCTAATTTTTACCTCTGTTTTACTATATCACCCAGTGTTCCAGCTAATTGTCCCCAATACAAATCAGATGCTGAGTTTCCACTTTTACTCTAACAAAATGGTTTGTATTCCCCAGAGCTATAAGAGGAAGAATAGTGCTAACATGTCCTCCGGATTTTTGGTGGATAACTTCTTTTTAAGTTTGCAATTCTTTTGTTCCAACCTAAAGAGAAGAATTTAGTTTAACGCTTTCGGTGCAAATACTGAAATATCCTTAAAGTCTGAATCAAAACTTTTATGTATCATTATTTACCCTTTAAACGAAGAACACGCATGATACCTCATTTTCTACTTCTGGGAAAGTAACAGTTTTCTCGAAACTATTTAAAATGCCCCATTTTTTCATCTTGTTCTATATGCGATATGTTCTGCTGAGACCAAGTAATCAGAGGAGACGGTTTGGACTTCGCCGCATAAATCTAACCAAGGAAATACTTCATACTTCTAATGCAAAATCGTTAAGAGTTTTAGGGTTCCCAACTCCCTTTCTTTCTTTGTAGTCAGTCACACGTAGATTGTAGAAGCGGTTGCATGTCACTTGGTTCACAGTTTGTCCTGATATGTGTGAGTAATGTCACTAGAGCGAAATCCGTTACGACCTATCATTTTTAACCTTCTCTACCATTTTTGGTTGCCGCAGTTGTCATTTCAAAACAGAATGTACCCACTTTTTTTAACTTTGCAAAGTGACTCATTGAAACATTTTGTTTTGGAGCAAAATGATAGCACACAATTTTATCTTTTTTATCAAAAGTTGGGGCAGTAAGTTAAGCTGAACTAGCATTGCTTCATTATGCTAACGTTCCATTTCACTGACTATTTTAATCAAACAAATTTTTACCACCTTTTAGCTTAATCAAATTGGAGTGGCATGGTGAATAAAAGGGGCTTTGTG